CTTGAGTTCTGGGTTGAAGAGGATGAAGATTGCATGTGTGTTACAAATCTGATTTTGATATAGATTTTATTTTCGGTTTATGTGTGTTTCGATTATGGTGGGTTTGTGTTTATTAGGTATGAAATTCTTGAGTGTATGTGTGTGTTATTGAATATGTGTTTTATGTGTGTATGTGTATGTTCTTGAGTATTTGTGTATATGTATGTGTACATTCTTCAATTCCGCTATGAAAGTTCATCTAAGCTTGCTAAGAAGAAGATGATACCTTTAATCCAAGTTGTAGAACTTTGATTCTTGATTCTCTCGAAGATTCTTGGATACAACTTCAACTTGGTGGTCTAGAGCCTTGGAAATACCCCTTAGATGCTTTTCCAAAAGTGTGTATATGTGAAATGAGAAGCTTGGATCGGTATTACACATGATATAATGCATTTTTTGGGGTTCAAACTTTGAACACAACCCGCGTTTCACCAACTTATTTGCAAAAGTACCATAAATAGCATCATACTTCATTAAATATGATTTTTACGACTTCGACCCTCTAACACAACCTTGTTTCACACCATGGATCTTGTTTCACAACACATGTCATGTTTTACAACACAAGTCATTTTAATCTTATTCCTTGTTTTTATGCAACATACTTTACCATCAAACTTCAAATAGCCATAAATTCTTTATACTAACTCATATTTTTGTGATCTTTATATCACATATTTGTATTCGAGTCAAATACAACTTTCTAGTAGATTATTTTTGATAAAAAGATCTACATTTGCACTTATATTTCCATAAACATAAGGTACACATTATTTATATCATAATAATCAACGTTCACATCCCTTACATTTACTAATTCATGCAACTTAACACATACATGTTATAACTTGTAATTCAAACTTTTGAGGATGTTAAAAATACCTCCTTAATTGAAGGCTCCGAACTCCAAGTCAAAGAAATACCGAATCAGATTAGTTATAAAAAAAGAAGATAATAAAGGAAATCATAATTGTGAATGAGAAATAGGAGATTGACAATATTAGTTCGAAATCAAACTCACACAAATCGCCAACTTAGGAATCAGAAATAAGAGAAAATCATAAAAAAGAAATCAGATTTAGAAATCGGGATTTAGTCGATTTAGAGATGACATTTTACTCCTCGGTCTTCCACAAAGTTCGTTTTTCTAGGTGTCAATTGACAATCAAAGAATCATAAATGTCGATTACAACTCTCAATATGTTAGGTGGCTTCAATTATTTCATATTTTTGTGACCACGCCTTGTGTCATTGCCTCCAGTGTTGTTTGTGTCGATAGAAATCCATAGCCTCTCTATAGGCCTAAATTTTTTGGGCCAAACTAATATATACTATTACTTATTTGTCTAAATTGATGCATATTCATATTTGATAACTTGGGATTCAATCCATCTCGCCCATATATTGAGCCATGTCTGCATCTCATGTTTTCATACATCCTCGGTGGTCATCTTGTATAAGGCACATTAGTACTTTGACTAACACGGGCTTCGAAGTCCAATCCTAGGCAGATCGAAGTGTCAAGGAAGTCTAACATACTTTTTATTTCCAAAAAGATCAAAATATAAAAAGTATTATGAGTGGTAAAAAAAGGAATTTTTTTTGTGTAAAGTTCTCCAAATGTGATTTATGGATATGAAAAATATAATTCTTTATTTATGTGGTTAATTAAGATGGTATCAAGGTGAACCAGCTAAGGGTAATGTGATAATAGAATATAAATTACAAAGATTCCTACATAAGTGAGAAGTTTTTTTCCGGGTAAACTCATTATATATGAGATTTATCAAAGACGCCTTTTCGGTTGCATCTACATTAACAAAATTGACTTGAAAAATTTTCGAGTATACATGCACCATGAAGTAGATTGTGACAGATGTTTATGAAGTGTTTGTCAAAACATCAGTCATCGAGGGACAAATGACTTTTAAGTTTTTTAGTAATGCTTATGGAGTATGATTACGTCATGTCGTTATTTACAAAAAAGTAATAACCTATATGTCACGACAACTGAAAGTTCACATGTTAGACCATCTATGTCATGGCATGTAATTCACAACAATAATATTCGTACTTTAGATTTTGCAATATTATCTTTTACAGTGTCAAATGCAAATTGCTCATAAATCACAAGAGTTTGTTAGGTATCTTTGGTCAGAAGGATTTGAACATGAGACAATAAAAAATGATTAATCTCGTGAGAGGATTTTAATTATGAGATACTTCACCATCCTTGTAAAGGAAACATGGTAGTCGATGCTTTGAGTGAATGGTGAACCCGAAGCAAAAGAAGGTAATATATATGTGAATTGAAGTGGTCATAATACGACTCAGAGAAGCTCAAACAATATTTTTAGCGGATGGGAATGTGAAGGAAGAGGATTTGAATAAGTATATAGTCTTCAAGGATGATAGACGAGGGTTGAAAATTTTTAAAGTCGTATGTACACATCAAAGTTTAGAGAAATATAAAATCTTTTGATGGAAGGGTCACATCGTTCCTTATATATTATTCACCTAGGGAGCACCAAGATGTATATCTGTATATGGACTTCAAACCATATTATTGGTCATCGACAATGAAAGTTGATGTTGCATTGTATGTTGCAATGTGTGTGTCATGTTTAGAGGTGCACGAATGGGCTTAAATTTATTAAGCTTGCTAAGGATTCTCGAGTCACATTTTCCCTTGCGAGTAATAATGATGTACATTGTTCCCAATAACCATGCACCAATAATTTATTATCGTTAAATAGTCGGAGTCAACATATTTAGGTCTACGTAAGGGTTTGAAGATTCTATATATTAGGTACTTGTATAATATTTGCAATGTGATTCTTGGAGTTCTTCAAATTCTTGGTCATCATTATGATCTCGTTTTAATCATGTTTCTATATAGCACATGAGTATATCTTTCCCAAGTCGATCATGATTGTTGGTGCACCGCTTCCCCCACTCTACATAGAAAAAGGTAGACATGCAACTTATAAATGATAGTTGACGAAAAAGAAATCCAGTTTGGTGCAAAAGAAGGCCAGCAAGAAACATCAAACATTAATCCATATTTTGTAGTCAAAAGAACGATTACGCAACAATGAACTAGATGATATGATCTTGATATGATCTTTTCATGATCAATCTAAAAACAACTTATAAGTGCCTTATATATAATTCGAGCATGAATTCCTTTGATGATATCATATTTTGAATATATGTAATTTTTGTTGTTTTCTAGGAGATGTCTTGTTGGTTAGTTATTTAAACAGTGCATTTGGTTGGAGTTGGATTTGTTTCGTCTACTGGTGTAACAGTGTGTTCTCATTTGTTATATCATTTGTTATATCACAGTTCGTTCTCTAATTCAACATTGTTACGAAATTTGAAATTTATTTTCTACTATATATTATTATAAGATAATGTGCTGAAAAAAATATATTAGTCACACATGTCTCGTATTTTTGTCTTGTGATACATGATCATTGCAGGGTTACTCAACCATTTTGGATGCTCTAAGCGAACCAAAAATATAGGGCCATTTAGATAATGGAAAATTGGAAAAAAAAAGTGAAACACCGTTTGACATTGAGGATTTGAACAATTGAGAATCAAGATCGCACTAATGTGTCGCATGCGTTTCATCTTCAAGAATTAAGATCGTTCACTGTGATGTGACCTATTGGACAATTAGTAATGAATTAATTGATATTTGAGATATTTTAATATTGAGTTAAGTTCGGAGAATAAGAGACCCTATAGAAGTAGGGACCCTAAACCCTAGCTCAGAAAAATATATGGTTGAGCCACCCTATAGAAGTAGGGGCCCTAAACCCTAGCTTAGAAAAACATATGGTTGAGCCTCCCCTGGTAGTTACACGGGAAAGCTTTCAAGCTTACTGCTCTACCGGTTTCAAGCAAGACCTCCCTTGGGTCATTGATAGCTCTATGCATAATACTTCAAAAATAAAAATGCAATGGTCATTATTTTAGTGATAACTCTTTGAATAATACCTTATTATTATATATATATATTAAAGTTGTGGAGAAAAAGAACAGTAAACCTGAGATATTTTTGCCACTTTTGGTCCCTTAAATTACATTTTCGGTCCCTCCATTTTTGTTTGTGTGTCACTTTGTTTAAAGGATAACACTTTTATGAAACGGTAATTCTACAACTTTTTTTTTTACTCTTTTGCCTCAATTGTTTTACCTGTTGCCACTTTTCCCCTAAGTTATTGTTTTTTACTTCTTCCGCTCAATTCTCTCGCTCCGCTTTTGCTTTAAACGATTCCCATTTTTTTTATCGTCACTTCTTTAATTAATGAGTTTTTTTTAATGTGTAAAATCATTTATGAACAGTAAGAAAAAGAACAGTAAACCTGAGATATTTTTGCCACTTTTGGTCCCTTAAATTACATTTTCGGTCCCTCCATTTTTGTTTGTGTGTCACTTTGTTTAAAGGATAACACTTTTATGGAACGGTAATTCTACAACTTTTTTTTTACTCTTTTGCCTCAATTGTTTTACCTGTTGCCACTTTTCCCATAAGTTATTGTTTTTTACTTCTTCCGCTCAATTCTCTCGCTCCGCTTTTGCTTTAAACGATTCCCATTTTTTTTATCGTCACTTCTTTAATTAATGAGTTTTTTTTAATGTGTAAAATCATTTATGAACAGTAAGGAATTGGTTTATTTTACATAAATGGTCCTTAGGTTTTGTTGAATTTGACGACAAAATTACATAAATGGTCCATATGGTTTACCCATGATGACAAATTCAGTCCCTACTACTTGAAAAGACCAAATTATCCTCACATTAACGGACAAAAAGCAACCAACATGCTACTTTACTTTACAAAGCAATGCCTTCCGACCCGACAACTCCGGAGAATCTTTTCTAGTTATCATTAATTATGTATAACAATATAGAGAGAAAATAGTTGCCATCAAGAAGGCAACTTTTTTGCGATACCCAAACACTTTATTGAGAAGCGGTCGGCGTTATATATCAATCAAGGGCTTACGCTAAAATCCCCCTTTGCTTGACCTTTCTCCCATCGGCCTCCTTCATCATCCATGGCCTCTCCATCTCAAGCAAGTCTCCTTCTTCAGAAACAGCTTAAAGGTTCAATTTTAGCATCTCAAATTCAATTTTCTTTAATTTATATCTTCATGTACCTTCTTCCGATGATGATCCGTGGTTTGTTTCTCTAGATCTCTGTAAAAACCCTGTTGATGGATTCTCCGCGGGTCTCGTCGATGAAAGCAATCTTTTTGAATGGAGTGTCACAATAATCGGGCCACCTGATACATTATAGTGAGTTTTTCTTTGTTTTTCTGTTCAAATATTGAATCTAAGTAATATTCCGTCTCCAATTACCAACTTTATCCTATGGATTCAGATTAATTGGGGTTTCTCGAATCATTTGTGGTAAAATTTAGGGTTTTAGTTGGTTTACCTGTCAATTAGATATACATCTATTGGTATTCCTTGATGTTCGTTTTTTTTGGTTGGGGTTTTCTGAGGGTTTTAAGGAGATAGCCATAGAAGCTTTCAAGATTATCATATGATCGATATTTTCTGACTCTTACTCATCTTTTTCAGTGATGGAGGTTTTTTCAATGCTATAATGACCTTCCCACAAAATTACCCTAATAGTCCTCCAACAGTAAGATTTACCTCAGAGGTTTGGCATCCAAACGGTTAGTATAGTACACATTTACAAAAAAGTTTCATAATTTATGAAATTTCTTTATCAAAAAATGTTTCCTTTTGGTGTTTTACAGTTTACCCTGATGGCAAGGTTTGTATTTCAATTCTTCATCCCCCTGGCGATGATCCTAATGGCTATGAACTTGCAAGTGAACGCTGGACACCCGTCCATACGGTATGCTAGAAATAGCAATGTACTTTTGTTTGTTTCCATTTTAGCAATGTACTTTCAAGATATATAATATCTATATATATATATATATATATATATATATAATATATATATATATATATATATATATTTAAAGAATTTAAAATATGATATTTTCAGGTAGAGAGCATAGTTTTAAGCATTATATCAATGCTCTCAAGTCCAAATGACGAGTCTCCTGCTAATGTGGAAGCTGCGGTAACAAACATATTCCCTATTAACCTTCATTAGAGTCTGTTTGGTACGATGGAATGGAATCAGAAAGGAATGGAATGAACAATGGAAATGGAATGGATCATTACATTCTTTTATCATGTTTGGTTGGCTAAAGGAATTAGAAGAGTCATTCAAGCATGTTGTTTGTTATGCATAATAAAAAAAAGAAAATGAAAACAAATTGACAAATAAATAATTCATTTTATAAGAGTAAATTTTAATAGAATTAGACATGTCACCAAATATATCATTATTTTACATCAAAAGTGAAAAGAAAATACACCCCTTTTCGATTACTACATACCAAACACTACCATATTGTGTGGTTCAAAATTGCGATGTTTTATTTTTTAATAAATTTTTCAGAAAGAATGGAGAGACAGAAGGGACGAGTTCAGGAAGAAAGTTGGTCGATGTGTGAGAAAATCACAAGAGCTTATGTGAAATGGATGTGGTGAGTCATCAACTCACCATGTTAAGTTTCTTATCTTTCATATATTCGTTCTATATACGCTTGTTTTGCTTTTGTTTACTTAATTAATGTTATGACTTATTAAATGGATTTTAAAATGTCATTTTTGGGACGATTTTTTTGTTCCTGTTTGGTCTACTTGTCATTTTTTTTTGAGTTAAATGTTATTCAAAACTTGTATGATGGAATGTCGTAAAGTGTATTTTGTTTGTTCGTTTTGAAGGGCTTGTATTTGATCCTTTAAAATCGTGCATCGATTTCATGAAATTATGTAAGATTAAATTACTTTTTTTATTTTTATCACTCAAGCACACATAGCAAAAACACTCATGATTTGGGGTTTGAATGTGAAGGATTTAGAAATCAAAGTTTGTAAGGCCTACCGGTATGCCTAGCACGAGCATGCTCGTGGTCTAGCTGGCCACGAACAACGGTCGTGCACACTAGCCTGTATGTTCGTGGTTGGCCATTTTCGTTTCGGTTCGTGGTGTGGAGAACGACGGTGCATGCTCAATAAAATCGTTTCTTTGTTTGACTGAATATTATAGCCGTTGAACGGCTAACTTTTCAAAAAAAAAAATTAAACATAAATTTTAACAATTTTTACATATAAAAACCACACTATATACTCATATTTTTTACACCATTCTTTTCTTTTTCTGTATACGAAAACACACAACATTTCACAACCAAAAAACCATGGATCCCAACCAAAATACCCCCCAAATTTTAGAAATCGCAAACCCGATAACGATTTTGCGTTAGATATCACCCCTCGTCAATTCCCGACCATGAAATCATTTCAAGGTGGTTTTGTCAATTTGCTTCAAACTGGTTTCCCAATCCAACAAACACCACTTTTCCAACAACAATATCAACATTTTCCGGCATTTCAACAACAATTTCAACAATTTTAACAACAATTCAATCCACAATCGTCAACCACCACATTCACAATCACAACCACCACTTCCACAACCACCTCATTCGCCGGATTTCATTTCGGAAACGCAACCTTCATCACCACATCAACCAAAAAAGAAGAAAGGAAAAAAGCTGGCGCGACCCACTACTACCTAAGAAAGGGTACCATGGACAAAAGTGGAAGAAGAAAAGCTAGCGGAGACGTGGGTTTCGGCTTCCCAAGACCCAATTGAAGGAGATAATCAAACCTTCAACTGTTTTTAGGAGAAGGTTCGAAGCGTTTTTTATGCGTGAACGGGAAGTGAATCTCGAAATCCCGATCAAATTAGCTCCAAGTGGCGCGATATTCGACTAAAATGCACGAAATTTGGAGGAATTTATAACAACCTCCAAAATATACGCAAAAGCAGGTCAAATGATTTTGATGTCTTCAAGGCGACCTTGGACCAATTTGAAAAAACCACGCCAACCCGCAAAACTTTTTCGTATGTGAAAGCGTGGCTAAAATTGAAAGACGCTCCAAAATGGATACAACAAACGGAAGGAACTTTACAAACCTCTTCCGGTTCAAAGTGTTCAAGATACCCGGATGCAACTTCCCAACAATCGGACGAACGAACACACATCGACATCAATGATGATCCGCTCGATCTTGAAAACGAGCAACCTCTTCGTCGACCCGTTGGAAGAAATAAAGCAAAAAAATCGGGTTCGACGTTTACGTGATCTAGTGTTGTGGATCATTTTGGTGAGAAATTTGATCGATATGTGCAAGTTCAAGAGAACAAGACCGAGATTATGAGTCGGGTGGAACAAAAAATGATGGAAGCGCAAACGTCATTTCAAGAGGCACAAACGACGCTTCAAACAAAAACCGATATGAAATCTTGAAAATGAATTTGGACGACCTCGACGGCGAAGATTTGGAGGGGGTAGTTTATTTTAGTTATGCTCGGTATTTTTAGGTTTTTTTATTTTTAATGTTATTTTATTATTTTTTATTTTAATTAATGTAATTTTTATTTTTAATGTTATTTTTATTTTAATTAATGTAGTTTTTATTTAATGTAATTTAGTATTTAAATTTAATGAAAAACTAGTATTTTTAAAAAATTATATGATTTTTATGTATTTTTTATTTAAATTTAATTAAGATAATGAGGTGGAGTGGTGTGTTTAGTGGTATGTATCACATATGTTTAGTTGTGGTTAGTGGTGATAATGTGGCACCCACCACTATAGTGGTTAGTGGTGGTATAACGAATGATCTAAATGTCAAACATCTTAGCATTTTGGTGTTGTATTTAAGGCACCAAACCGAGTTTATACCTTATTTTTTTTTAACTTATATTCGTAATTTGGGGTATTAACTATTTAGGGCCTATTAAGGTATCTTACACATTCAAGGTAGTTTACCAAATGCTGATAAATATCATCTTGTTTTTTTTTGGAAACCAAACTTAGCCAAATGGGTTATAAGATCATTTCACCTAATTGCAATTCCCCAATTTACCCCTATGTTTAACCCACCTGTAAAAAGTAATCGCTTCATCCATCATTGTGGAAGGTTTTGTAGGAATATTGTTAAAAATCTTGTTATTGCTAGCCAACCAAATACACCACATCACGCCATAAACAATGGTTAATATGATTTTCTTTTTCTTAGGACAGTTTCCTCATTGAGGCGCAAACCTGATTATATCCTCCATTTTGGAAAAGAATTTAGTATCAATGCCACACCAATCATATATCCATGTGAGTGTATCTCTGGAAAAAATGAGCATTCACATAACAGAAGATCCTCCGTTTTCACATTGTTTGAGCATATTGGACAAATTGTTGAGCCAATGTTGGTACCTCTTTGAATCAAAGCTGCTCCAGTTAGGATTCTATCCGAACATGCCCTCTAAATAAATATCAGCACCTTTATTGGAACCCCATTTATCTGTTGCATAGTCTTTAGTGAGGAAACTGGTTAATTCGCTCTCACAAGATGTCAACTCTAAAAACACCATCTTGAGCTAAGGGGAATTTCCATGAGTCTTTAGCATTAGAGAAAGAAAACAAGTTGACTATCGCTTGAAGTTGATCAAGTTCAACAAGTTCTACATGTGAAGTAGGTCTTATTTTCCAACTGGCGACAAAGCCAGAAGGGCCCATACGTTCAACTATATACATCGTCTTTTTCTTCTCTAAAGCAAACAAGTTTGGAAATCATGAGGAGAGTGACGATGTTTCGCGCCAGATTTTAAAACAGAAGTTTGTGTCTTCTCCGATACCTACATTCACAGATAACATATTAGTCGGGACAACTGATAACTAGTTTTTTTAGCTATCAACTAACTTAGTTGCCAAACATATTCTTAACAGTCCTCTTTTTTTTAGAAAAAAAAAGAAACGATTCAAATCATTTATTTTTCCTTCTAAAAATCAATATTATGGTTGGTAGTTAATAATCTTAAAAAGTAATCATTTGTAAACTATTACTAAAAATGTTTTTAGCTCATAAATAATTACAAAAAGAATTAGTTATATGTGATTGAAAAAAACTGTAATCAAAAAGATTTTTATAAACAATACAAAGATTCTTCATACAAAGATTTTTGTCATTGGTATTTTATATATGGAAAATATTTTATGCATTTAAAATAATTTTCTAAACATTATTTAAATGAGTTTTATGTAGAAAAGTCTCATTATTTTGGGATTTTTTTTTGATAAAGTACTAAATATTTGTTTTTGAACATAAAAGTCTTATTATTTTGGGAAAAACGCATAATCTGTCATTTACTGTGAAAATAAAAAAAAAAATTTTGTTAGTTTGTAGAAAATGTTAAATAATCGAGACTTTTTTATTTAATTTTTTAGGGCTTTATCAAAATTTTGCCAAAATAATGAGATTTTTGCCAAAATAATAATTCCTATATGATTTATCATTTAATTTATAAATGATCATGTTATATACCACACCACCAAGAATTTAATACACATGATTGATGTTATAATTGTTCATGAGAAATTATCATTGCATGTATATACGTAGAAATTGTTAATGCACAACATAAAACTAGTTCCTTGATGCTTGATTTATCCTTAAGTCTTCAGGACCTAGGGATGTCAAAAACCTCCGCGGGACTCCGATACCGTACGGGACTAATTTTTAAAAAAATTCGGGAGCGGGAGCGGGGACGGGGGCGATATTAACTCCCGTTTATTTTCGGGACTGGGGGCGGGAGTGAGTATTTCCGTCCCGTATCCCCACGGGGGCCCCGTTTATATTTATATAAAAAATATATATATGTTTATAACTTTAGTGATGTTTTATGTTTGATCAATTCTTGATTTATCAAGGGCTTACATGTTTTTTTATATACAAAAGTTATTAAAAATAGTATTTTTAGCCTAAAACAAAGCAATTTTTTAGCAAAAAAAATCCATTTTTAGGCCTATAAACAGGGAGTACCGGGGGAACGGGGGTGGGACCGGGGGCGATGGAGGTAACCGGGGGGGGACCGGGGGCTTGTGTAAGCCGGGGATCCGGGGGCGGGACCGGGAGCGGGGGCAACAAGGGATTTCGGGAGCGGGGGCGGGGGCAACCATTTCCGCTCCCGTTTGATCCCGTTGACATCCCTATCAGGACCACATAGCCACTTTACTTGATGAATTCTGATTAGTGCATACACAACATAACTATGTAAAATCAAGATGGAGGATAAAAAAGAATTTACTACACATTATCAAGGCATACATGAAGTTCGTGTAACAAAGCAATTCGGTTCTCATGATTTCAAAAGACCCTTTGGCTAATATGGTAAGAGAAGTTTGTCTCATTCACATTTTAGTATCTGTAACACCCGCAGATTCAGGCTAGTCAATTAAGATATAATAAGCGTTAAAAATGATTTTTTTTAAAGATTATCCAGGATAAATAATTTTAACCAAAGTAATAGTTATGGTCAACAATTGTAACCTATTTGATTTAATAAAGAAGAATTATGTGAATATTATGTGTTTCATGATTATTATAATATAATAAAATAGGAAAAATCAGTCGAATCATTCGTAAATCGTAAAAATAAGTTCGCCAAAACATGTATGTGTGTGTATATATATATATATATATATATATATATATATATATATATATATATATATATATATATATATATATATATATAAAGTACACGTCTTCCCGATCCCGAAAATATAAATTTCGTAGAAATCCGACTCCGTATGAATTAGATATGATTTTTATAAAGAAATCTATAGAAAAGTCTCAAACTTTGAAAAAAAATTTCAAAAAAAACCTAATTTTTTTTTGAATAAAAAAGACACCGGCTAATGTTTACAATTTGACGTGACATGGTTGCGTACAAACAAAAAATAGG